CTGGGTTGGTGTAGATGCCGTAGAGAAGATTTAGCCTCATGATAGAAACAAACATTCTCAGTGACGTGGCGGTTCCGCCTACGTTGAGCATTTCCAGCACCGCGTGAACGGCGTTGTGTACGTTCTCGTCGGGTAGCCACTGCGCCGAAATGAAGCTCGAGAAGCAGGAGAATAAGGCTCGACTAGCTTCGTTCTCCGACAGGCCCTGAGTGGTCAAGGCTGGGGAGTGAGTGAACCTGAAGAAACTCGTCGTTGACCTGAGCTCGAAGTTGTAGCAAGCGTACCTGTAAAAATCTTGACAGGGATCTAGGCTGATGCTGCTGCTTGCCCAGAGCATCTGGAGCAGGGCTTGCATATTCCTGTTCCTTGTCTTGTCTTTGCCGTGTGCGCACAACGTGAACCAGCACTGTTGAAGGCGAAAGGCAGCAGCAGTGGCCGTGGTGAAAAAGATTGAAAATGTGAGAAAAAACGCCACTCTTTTACAATCGTTTGTAGCATCATGGGCTGCAGTGAATGCCGTTGAGGTGTGAGCTGCGTGTTGGTCGACGGCTTGGCAGGCGGTGGTGGCGATTCACGCCTCTTGGATTCCGAATCCAGACCTGGCCTTGAAGGTGGTTTTTCGGGGATCTTCGGGGTTCTGATTGTCTTGCTGACTGACAGTGGGGCCTGTGTCGGCAGTTTGGGGCTATGGGTTGACATAGAACCTTGAAAATCCGCAGCAGCAGCGTTCCAGGAACAATTATAGAATCACATCAAATTGTTCTTCTTCTTTTGCTTTGTCCAGCATAGCATGCTAATATTGACGAAGAGGCTGCACTGGTCGCATTTTGATGCATGCGTAATTTTAGAGCCCATGTACTTCTCCGATTTTTTTGTGTTCAGTTTTATGCAACGTGAGATAATAATACAGAGGTTATTTTTCTTAATCGATATTTGCCCCGCCGCGGTAGTCTAGTGGCTCAGGTACTCGGCTGCTGACCCGCAGGTTACGGGATTGAATCCCGGCTGCGGCGGCTGCATTCCCGATGGAGGCGGAAATGTCGTAGGCCGATGTGCTCAGATTTGGGTGCGCATTAAAGAACTCCAGGAGGTCAAAATTTCCGGAGTTCTCCACTACGGCGTCTCTCATAATCATATGGTGGTTTTGGGACGTTAAAACCCCACAAATCAATCAATCAATCAATCAATTCATCGATACTTTAAAAGCTCTGAAATTTAAGCATGTTTGTACTTGAGCATGGTGGCACTGTGATATGAGCGCTTGCGGCACCGTGCTCGTGGACTGCACGTTACAAAGCACCAGATGGTCTCTATTTTTGGAGCCCTCCACTACGGTGTCTCATAATCATATCATAGTTTTGGGACGTAAAAACTCACAAAAAACAACAGTATCGACGAACATGGTGGCATTTTGAGCGCCTAAATGGACAAGGAACTGAGCGCTCGTCTGTCTACCTCTGTCTTTTGTTCCTTGTCCAGTTACGCGCTCAAAATACCACGATGTGCAAGTACAGACTCACCCAAATTTTAGTGCTTTTAAAGTATCGACGAAGAAAAAGAGCCTCTATATTATTATCTCACGTGTCAAAAAACTGAACCCAATGAAATCGGAGAAGACTGCTATAACTTAGAAACATAAATATACCACACAGGGGAGGGAACACATGTAAAAGTAGACAAGACGAAGGCAGGCTAATCTTCCTGTTCACTTCTCCTACTTGTATTTCCTCCACTGCACAGTTTTATTTCAGTTTCAACGTCGTACCATATAACATTCCAGCGCGCACTTTATTTGGTTTGTAAGTGAAACGGGAGCGTGTTGAGAAGCTAATGCTCGCCGTAACTCGCTATGTGTTCGAGTCCACTTCGAAGCCACAAACTCACCTCTGGCTGCGTAATCGGTCATTCAGTAGGCCATATTGTGGTTATAAGAGGGAAAAGAAGAGAAAAGTGAGCCCCGTAACTGTCTGCATCAGCGTGCGACACCTCAACAGTAGCTCACAAGGGAGGGGGTGAAGAGAGATTAAAATGATAGGATTAAAGGTATATATATATAGAGAGAGAGATGCGCAAGGACAGCGAGCAACGACATAAGAGAGATAGGAAAGATGGAAACACGGTCACAGGAGCCCGAGGACGTGGCACCACTTGCGAGAGCTCTTGTCGGCGACAGGAGATGGCGTATAGGGCTAATCCAGTCGGCCAGAGCTGCCCTGACGTCGTCGTAGGAGACCGGCGGCAGGAGGTGGCGTAGGTCAAACCCAGTCGGCCAGAGCTGCGCTGTCGTCGGAGAGCGCGAGGGCACAGCTGGTCGGCACGGAATCCAGCGAGCGAGTCCAGAAATGCCGTTGTAATCACGGCCGCGGCATTCGCACGATGCCATGAAACAAACAAAAACTGAACTGAGTGGTCATTCGTCGCGGTGTGGTTACCGATGGAGGGCAGTCAATCATGGGGCAAATGACAACGCATCAGTGTTTCCGACACCTGGCATAATAATAATAATAATAATAATAATAATAATAATAATAATAATAATAATAATAATAATAATAATAATAATAATAATAATAATAATAATAATAATAATAATAATAATAATAATAATAATAATGTCATTAATAATATTGTTATTATAATTTTAATAGTAAAGATAATAAAGTGTAACGGTAAATTATGAGTGACGCTCTTCTTGTAAGTTACTGTTTAAAAGAGGAGTATCGCTGCCTAAGTTACTGCTCTAGTAAACAGGTGTTCAAAAATAAGTAACTTTCGCAGGTTGTACTCTAAAAGCAGCGGCATCGCATAAGCTCCGTATTTCTCTGAATATGCCGTGACTATTAAGGGCAAAACTTCTTAAGCCGTGGATCGTGCGTCCACAATGTATGTAGTAGTAGTGGTAATAGTAGTAGTAGTTGTTGTAGTAGTCTTAGTAGAAGCCACCTCTCGTTGAGTCCTTGGAATGTCCGCTGGATGACGGTACTTCTATATGATGAATATATGATGAAACGATGCGAGAGGCCGGTACTTGGAGTGTTTACTAGATGGACGGAAGGACGCAGGGACGGACGGACAGACAAGCGGACGGACGGATGGATGGACGCGTGGACGGATGGACAGACAGACAGACAGATGGACGGACGGATGTGCGGATGGACTGACGAATGCCTCGCACCACTTATTATCATCCCCTGCGTAGATATGCTGTGATTTTTTTATGGAGCATGCCTCTACTTTGCTTTGCTGCCTGCGTACCACTTATCTCCTTGTGTTATTGTTTTTGGGGCGAGATTTTGATATGCTTGTTGTTTCAATATTCATTACAGCTAGATACTGCCTCGTCAAGCACGCGGACAAAAAGAAGCATAGCAGAATAGCTATTTTAGGCAAATCAAGCTCGATTAAATGAGCATTTTTGTTTGAAAAAATTATATAGCGCGAAGATAAACATAAAGATGCATGGTTTTGCCAACAAGCAGAATGACATATACGATTAAGCCTCGAAGACAAATCCACCCACATAAAAAAAAAAACGGCGTCGGAATTATTGTTTGAAACGGCAGCCTTCTGTGTGATCACCATATCGTTTTCCTTGCATTCAGGCGTGTGCTGGCGTTTGACAGCACTTTTTGCATTCATTGCGCATAAGAATTGTTGATGTCTATGGTCTGGTGGCGCCCGCAAACTCTGCCACTCGCTCTGCACTTATCCTTGATTCTCAGCACTTAGTACTTTTAGGAGATAAGCCTTTATACATTGGTGGTGCAGACTGAGGCATTTATTTTATGTTTTTCTTGGAGCCGCATTATAATTTGTTCTAGGCTTCCACGCCGACGTCCGAGGTCCAGGTCGTGGGTGGTCAAACTGTAACGCTACGGAACTTGAGCGTCTTGTGCAACAGCTATCACTGACTTATGCATACAACCATGTGTATTGTGGGAGGTACGTTCATACACTGGCTTAGTGCGCCACCGAGCAGTCGGCTTGATCGAGCATATGTATCCCAAGCCTCATGGCCTTCGTACGCACTGTTGAGGTGCTGTCGCTACCGCCTATACGTTGGTGTACATAGGCGACCGCTGCCCGGTTGCTCTGACCGTACACCTGCCTGCAGGGACGCCGACTGTTCAGAGGCCATGGCTTCTGGATTATCACGACCTTCATGACTCTCGGACGGCCCAGGGTTTGTGCCGAGCACTACAGACATCACTTATCGGCACAAATGTCAATGACTGGGGTTATTTGAAAGCACAATGGCATCACCATTGCGGTACGTCCGGTAGGGCACTTCACCTTCGTGTGACGCAAGAAGTTCACGTTTTATGGCAAAAAAAAAAAATCTGCTTCATCCGCCAAGACCGTTGCCCCTCTCCGGTCACGCGTGCATGGCAAGCTGATGAGCTGTTACCACCGTGTCATGCCCGCCTCTTCACTCTCAGCGGCAGAGACGCGCACCATGTGGGCGCACTGCAGTGTTCTTGTATTTCCGCCGGGCACTCATCCGTCCTTGTGGCTCACCTACACACACGCTGCCCCTGTGACTCCTGCTGCTACTGTGAGCAAAGTGAGGTACCGGGCTAGTTGGTTTTGCATGATTAAATAAATTTCTCTACAGTTGCTAATAATAATAGTTCTAGTCATAATGGTATTATTATTATTATTATTATTATTATTATTATTATTATTATTATTATTATTATTATTATTATTATTATTATTATTATTATTTCGGGCTTACAGGCTTACATGTCTTTGCGGAGAACAGTGGGTGTCATTCACATATGTTCTAGTAGAGGCATACATCTCCCCCTTCCCGCTTTAATTAGCATGACACAGTTACCTTGAGTTGCCTCCTCTTTCCTTTTTCGAAAGTAAAACATTCCTTGGCACCTGTCTGGTCAATATTATGTCTGAAGTCCTAAGGGAAGCAGTATGAACAGGATTGGAAATTGACGTGTACTACGTATGCTTTGAAAGAAGAAAGGGAGCGCAGAGTGCCTGACTCGGTGGCGCAACGGTAGCGCGTCTGGCTGCGGGTCAGAAGGTTGCGTGTTCGAATCACGCCCGAGTCATTCGTATTCTTTTCTGGTTCATATTGCACCATTTTCAATGAATGGATGGCATGAGCGATTCCTATATATAAATATTGCTTTTTTATTTAGAGTTCTTACTAAGTTAGACTGATGAATCATACTCTTGAAAACTTGTGTCGTTAATCTCACATCCGCAGGTTAAGTATTAGATGAGTAAAGCATTGGGAAAAATATGACCTAAGCTTTCCGCCGAAATATCCTGAGATGATGTCATAGTACTTTTTCGTATTTTTTTCTTTTACGTTTCTATCCTCTGCTCCTCTCTCGCACTTCCCTTCGCATATCCTTGCTAAACCCCATACCATACAAGATTTATTTGATTGATATGTGGGGTTTAACGTCCCAAACACCACCATATGATTATTAGAGGCGCCGTAGTGGAAGGCTCAGGAAATTTCGACCACTTGGGGGTTCTTTGACGTGCACCGAAATCTGAGCACACGGGCCTGCACCATTTTCACCTCCGTCGAAAATGCAGCAGCCGTAGCCGGGATTCGATCCCGCGACCTGCGGGTCAGCAGCCGAGTACCTTATAGCGACTAAACCACCGCGGCGAAGCGCGCGCGCGCGCGCGCGCACGTGTGTGTGTGTGTGTGTGTGTGTGTGTGTGTGTGTGTGTGTGTGTGTGTGTGTGTGTGTGTGTGTGTGTGTGTGTGTGTGTGTGTGTGTGTGTGTGTGTGTGTGAGTGTGTGTGTGTGTTCGCGCGTCACCTCTACCAAAGATTCATCTACATTCACTTCCCGCAAGCGTGGGTGCCTTATCACGTCTTCGAAAGTGCGTGCAAGGCACCAACGAATGCGCATGCTCGCTCAAAGGCACACAGCAGAAAAGCGCTTACGCCATCTTCAATAAGTCAGTTTTGGCCTAGCGCTTATCGAGTGTGTTGATGTTACAGCGCTATTCCGGCTATACCCCAGTGACGAAGAAACGAGATAATGCCAGTGTGATCCGCAACGGGTTCACTTCGGAGGATGGCATGATGTCGCCTAGATTTCGACGAGACGGTGAGCAGCTGTAGCACGAACAGGATACGCCAATAAGCTTATTTTGATGGTAATAAGTTCACGGACAGTGTGAAACGCCGGGTTCTGCTGCTGTCTTCATTCAGCGATAATGTCGTCAGCCCATTTCAGAGACGCTTTTCAACCGTGTCGGTCAACAGCCGAACCTACGAGCAAATCGCTGAATACCTGGAGGAACAGTACAACCCCTAAGGTAATGAGACAAAGACAGCAAGGTTATTGTTCTTCAAGCACAAGCAGCAGGACAGTCATAGCGTTTGGGAGTTCATTACCGACCTCTGAAGACTGGCGATGAATTTTAGCTTAGCAGACTCTTCGGAATTGGATGCTGCGAGACCGCATAATCTGCGGTTCGGGATGACGATGCCCGTCATTGCCTTTTCACGCGTAAGAAGACAGCTGTCGAGGATGCAAAAGAATTCGCTCATCGAAGATAGGGCCAGATGACGTGCGAGACGTGCCGGAAAAGCTGCCGGAGACGACGGTAAATGGCACTAACGCGGTGCAGTGACCCTGGACAGAATAGGGCTCTAATGAAGCAAGCCAGCATTGGTGATTCTTGTGGTGGCCCTCGCGCTACTCGCACATGCCGACATCTGAACACAAGAGACCATGATTGTGACATTAAAGGACACCTGGCATATGTCTGCAGCCGGGAGTGTTGCTAGGTGGCGAAAACACTTGCCATATAGCCGACAGAAAGTGAGGGCGAAGAAGAGATGCTGCCTGCTTTCGTTGCTTCTACGACGGCGCGTCACTGAAGCCTTTCGAGAAAGATTTGACTGGTCAGTGTCGGAAACTCCGTGTGAATATAGACACGAAGTCTCCGGTCAGCGTCATCCTGATGAACATATTTAAGAAGCATCGCAACTAGCAACTGGCACTGCAGAAGACGTCACTCTAGTCAAATATAAATATTGGGGACCCTCACCTTTTGTTCGTCTGATAACTGTGAATGTTTACAGTCAGGTTGACCGGTTGTAACGAGCACGACAATTGTTGCTGGTTGTAATGAACCACCTGTCTGTGACCGGAACACGACACAAGTATTTAAAAGTGTGAGAATGTCCGTACGGCAGCAAATCTGAGTGTAAACGTGGTTCGTGAAAATGTCGTGGTGAATCCTCTACCAGAATTGTCGGGTGTTCTTGAAGAGAAGCTTGGTGGTTAGAAGGACCCATCTGTAAAACTGCACCTGAAATTTGGATCTCACCCACGTTTCTATGAACCATGTGAAGTGACATTCGCTATGAGTGCAGAAGTATGCGCCGAAATCGATCGTATCGTGCAAGACTGGGTGCTCTCACCATAAGTGTACCGCAATGGGCAACTCTGATTTTTGCAGCCGCAAATAATAACGGTGACGCTTGTACGGTGGATATAAAGTTGACAATCAACTCAGCATCGTGCTTCAAAAAACACCCCCTGGCCAAGGTTCAAGAGATTTTGGCAGCTCTTTCGGGAGGTCAAGTTTTCACTACGCTGAAATCGCACATGCAAGCAGCTGCCGCTTCACACAAAAGCCAGGAAGACTGTTGCAATGATCATACACCGGTGCCTGTATTGCTACAATCGACTATAGCTTTTGGGGTTGCTTCAGCCCCAAAGTTGTTTCTGCAACGCATTGAATCCACACTGCAAGGTGAGGTGGGCTAAACGTCCAGGTGTACTTCGACGACATCATTGGGGCTGAAAAGATTCAAGGCATTTCCTTGCTCCAGCATGTGTTTCAGCAGCTGCGGGAAAACAACCTAAAACTTAGCAGAGCAAGGCGCCACTTTATGGAAGTGAGCGTGCCGTTCATAGGGCATAAATGTGGTGGCCTTCATCCCGTGCAAGACAATATAGTAGAAGCAGTATACTGTATACCAGTGCCAAAGACGTCAATGGTAAGCCATCTGGAATCTTGCCGGACCTTTGTTATGTATACTATTCGAAATTTTCGCCCAACTCATCAACTACAGGCTGCTTTATTTCATTTCCTTTTCTTGTTTATTTGTTTGTTTACACGGCCGTGGCCAAAAAAGTGTGCAAAAGCAGGGGGGTGGGGGGGCAGTGCTTGACAGGGTGTGTGATTAAAAGGCTAAAGGTTGTCGTAGACTAAACTTTAAATACTGCTACCCACAAAAGCCTCTACGATAGAAGTGCGATGAGTCGGTACCCAGATTTAGAGCAGTAACGTCGAATCCGATCAATGGCGAAGACTAGAACATCATTGGAGTACTTTTACCGGAAAAGGGACTGCTCGAGCTGGTTTTTGTGGTTACAAGCTTTTGAGGTTACCTTTTCGGTAATTCACTTTGTTTTGTTGCTGATCGTAAGTCACTGAGAGTGTTTTTATGGCGAAAATTTATTTCACCGATGGCGGTGACAAGGCTAGCGATGTTGGCACTATACTATTATCTGCATATCGGTATGATATTGCATATTAGAAAGGGCTGATTACTGCACATGTCGATGCCTTGAGCCGGTTGCATCTTCCGGAACAAGTGCATAGCGGTGAAGATCATGCCGTAGAACCCGTGCTAGGCATGTGCAAGCCCTGACATTTTTTTTTCATCAGTTCACTCGCATGAAGTGTTATCGCGATGATATTGACTACTTTGGCTTTGCTTGTCGTACTTCATAAACATTGGCTTGCTGAATTTTTATTATTTCAAAGTTCGTCGGCATCCGTATGCTACATTCTTGCCTACTACATAAGCGTGCGATCTAAGCACGCGTGGTTTTAAAGCAGCACGTTATACTTTCCCGAGAAAAAAGTAGATTCTTTCTGGCGGGGCATATATTTTTAAACTATGCGTTTTGCATGAACGGGTTGGTTGCGCACACATGCTTTTGAAGTAGACGCGTTGTTTTTCTGTGAAAATGTATATTGCTTTATGATATGGCAGGTTGACTGGAAAGGTGGTGTCGTATACTATAAATACGAATGGTAGGCGCAACAAAATTCAGTCGTGCATTCAGCGCTCATCCAGTGCACCGTGTGCCTTCGTCCTCCTAATGTTGTTGCACTGTGTTTCCCCAGCTGACATTATCTTCCTCTTTTCACAGATAAGTTTGTGCACGGCGAAAACAATGACGTTCTTCTAAGGCAAGTAAAATCACGAATTCTGCGTGGCAACTCCGGCCGGAGCAGCAGGGCTTCCAGCCCTACTTCACCCGCAGAAAGGAACTTACTGTAATAAGGGAAAATCTCCTGGAGTCACTGGGCTGTTTCGGCCGATGCAGATTGGTAAAATTTTTTTGTAAGTACTTCACATTACCCATCCGGGTATGACTGTTATAAAGCACCTGGCGCGCATTGTCTTGATATCCCGGAGTGGATCACGGCAATGAAAGTTCGGCATGCAGCTGCCATGGATGCATCTATGGAGAGTCGGCCAATGCCAGCAAGGCACGCGCCTAATCGCTGGCTCGAAACTAACAAACGTTGGACTCGCCTGCACGTCGACTATGCTGCTCCGATTGATTATCCAATGATCTTGATAGTAGTGTACACAAAAATAGATGGTTGAAAACAGTAGTCATCGAAACAGCTAATGCAAGAACTACTGGGCACGGCTGGCTTTGTTCGTGCATTTTGGTCGTCCCGTCAGTCTTTCCTGACGAAGAGTCCCCATGTAATAGTTCAGTGACTGAGATTTTTGAAAGCTCACCACATACGCCATTTCAAATTCCTGTATTATCGTCAAACTTATTAGCAGGGCTCGCTGTGCGCAGCATTCAGGAAGGAATAAACAAAAGAAAACACGGGAAGTTTGCTCACTCGACTTGACAAGTTCTTTGCACGTTAAAGAACGACACAGACTCAAGGCGGCAAATTGTGCTGACGAGATGTTCTTTGGTTTTCAGTCCACAATCTATTGGGCACATTTTCGAGAGGAAGTGGAACGGCTGAACGGACCGACAGCGCCGATGCAGTGGTCCCCTCAAGGAGCACCTGTGTGGTCACGC